ACCACTTGCCCTGACTGAATGTTGACATTCTGATTACGCTCAAGACTTTAGAAAAGGGTAATCATATTTCTTGTCTAGAATCTATTGAAAAAACTGGGTATAATTTGAGCTGATGTGAATAATGGAATTTGCAGCTGACAACCCACGCAGAGAAAACATAGCATAACTGGCTCAAATAACCCAGAGTATATATAGAAAAGTATCTTTTTTAACACTTTAAGCTGAAAACTTTTCTAATTGATAGAATAAAAAAAAAAATCACTTACCAAACACTGTCCCAGTGAAGTGTGAGGAACTTTGTTCTGCAAACAGTTCAGTTTGACTGCCTTTGGAATATGAGGACAAGTTTTCACATCTACGTTTGGCAGAAAAAAATAAAACACAATATATCGACAAATAAGCGTTAAAAAATCGTATTTAGATTTTATAGGTCCTTACCCACCCACCCCTATAGTACTTGAAACCCTCTTCCGCTTTCACCTTAGGTAGGTTTCTTGTCAATTTCTAGCGACCTATTCGACATAAATGATTTTTTTAACAAAACAATTGTTTTTCTGAGAAATAAAGTCATCTCTAGGTGTTTTTCGAGTAATATGTACATCGGACGGGTAGGTAAACTTTGGACTTTTACCAAAGCTAATATTACGTTGTATCTTTTAAAACCTGTTTAAAAGAAAGATTGTTACACAACATGCAGCCATCTTATTTTTTTATCTAAATTAAACGTAAGTGCCAACCATTACCCTCGTCTTCCTCGCCGTTTTGAACCTCGTCAGTTCCTTTTGGTTTCTTCTTCTTTTTCAGTGAATTACGCTTTCCTTTCGCCATCTTTACGATCGTGACCGGAATTATAGTGTATGGTCTTGTTTATAGTGCTTCGCACACGAAGTACATGTCTCATCTACAATTATCCGCTGTGACAAAATTAGCGTGCTCGGATGTCTTTCGCCCATAGGGCTTGGTACCGAGGACGATTCCCTCAACTGTGTTACTCGTGGAGTTTATTGATTCGTTGTTCGAAAAGTCATTGAGTCACATTGCACTGTTTTGGAAAGGATTCCTGTTCCAACACGTCTTTTAAACACAACTTATACCTAGTCGGTGTGACCAAGAAATTTTCCTTCGCACGCAAGTAGACGTTGAAATTTACTTCCTTGTTATGGAGGGTTGGCGCTGATTAGTGCAGTTCTTCAGTCCCAGCGGACAAAAGTTTTCAAAAATGCCTCGTGGATTACAGCTCTTACTGCTACTTTTAGCTGTGCCATTGCAGTATTTGATATGCCAGTGGACTAGTCCATCTGCAAGCGAAAGGGCTCAGCTGATCAAACAGTAAGATTATGGGAACTATCATGAATTGGTGGGAGAAACTGGTACCTTTTGTATCTTTAATGATGGATGCAAGTTTAGGACGGTTAAGTGCAAAGATGTTGTGATTTTGAGCCAAAGTCTATCTTTTTTTAACTCATTGCCATTTTCTCCTTTTTAGATCAATTCTGTATATATGTGTGTAACTATGAAAGAAATATATGAGGAGAAATATATGAGGAGAAATATATGTCTGGAATTATCTGCTCCAGTAGAGAAGGGTCGCTTAAAAACAAAGAAAATAGCTGTTCAGATTATTTATTGCTGTTATTTTCTTACTTAATTATTTATGTAATGACTAGTGTTTGGCTTTGGCTTTATGCATTGATCAACTC